GAGGCCGCGCGGGGCTGGGGCGGGAACTTGGGGTACCGGGCCCCGAGCCGAAAGCACTGGCCGCCTGCGCGGGCCGGGCCGAGCGCGCTGGGAAGGCCGGGCCGGACCGGGCTGAGGATCCTCCGCCGCCGCCGCTGCCGCCGCGCCTCAGACGTCACATGATGTTTGGTCACGTGGGCTCCATTCATGAAGCGGCGACGCGGCTGGCCGGAGCTTAAAGGGGAAGGCGCGGCGGCGGCGAGGCGCCTCCACTGCGTCTGCGCGGCCTCGCGCCGTCACCCTAGGCAACGCGCGCCTCGCCCAGACAGGGTCTCGCGGGACTGGCCGAGGCTCTGGGGCGCAGGCCACGCCCCCGGACGGGCCCCGGCGCTTGGTCCGCGGCTTGGACGGCTGGGCTGCTTTTCCCCGGCCGGCTGCGCGCAGCTGGCCCTGGGCTTTCCGAGGTCTCCGCGCGGACTCAGGCCTGGGTCTGTGGACCGAACCCTCGTGGCGTGGCCTGTCTTGCTCTGACTGCATGTGTGTCGTTAGCACAGATTGGCCTTGAACGCTGGGTTACAGCTTCGGCCTCACGGCTGCGGGGCCCCAGATGCTGCCTTCAAACAGCGGCACAGTTATCCCGTTCTTTTAAAAAGTACTTATTTTAGGGGTTGGAGAGATGGCTCAGCGGTTAAGAACACTGGTTGTTCTTGCAGAAGACCTGGGTTCGAATCCCAGCACCCACATGGCACCTAACAACTGTCCGTAACTCCGGTCCCAGGGGATCCGACAGCCTCTTCTGACCTCCGCGGGCATTGCACGACACGGGTGCACTTACCTACATGCAGACGATACACGCATATACATAAAATAAGTAAAAATGTAAAAAGTACTTATTTTATTGCATGTGTCTGGGCGTATTGCCCGCATGTGTGTAAATGCACCCGTGCCGTGCAATGCCCGCGGAAGTCAGAAGAGGGTGTTGGATCCCCTGGAACTGGAGTTATGGACAGTTAGCCATCATGTGGGTGCTAGGAATCGAACCTCGGTTCTCTGCAAGAGCAGGCAGTGCTTTTAACTGCTGAGCCCTCTCTCCAGCCCCCACCCCTTTTCCCTTTTTAAAGACAAGGTCCTACCATGTGGTTTTGGCTGTCCTGGAACTCAGAGATCCTCCTGCCTCTGTCTCCTGGGTTTAGGGATAAAAGGTCTGTGCCGTGCCCCCGCGACAGCAAGATCCAATTTTCTTCTGAGTTTCTGGACTTTGTCTTGCCGCCCTTCCCTTCTCAGGTGTAAAGCCAGGAATGGTGACCCATCTGGTTACGCACACGTGCAGGGAGTGTCGGGTATTCACTCCCACCGAGTGAGGGATAGAGGTCCGACAGAGACTACCTCAGGACCTCTGGTCTGGTCTGCCACCCTCCAGGAAGTTCTGGGAGTTTCTCAGAACTTGCTGTTATTTCTCTTCGTCTTTCTTCCTTTTTTCTTTCTTTTTTTTTTTTTTTTTTTTTTTTTTTTTTTTTTTTTGTCTTGTTTTGTTTTGTTGTTGTGACCTCAGGTCTCACTCTGTAGCCTACACTTGTTTGGAACTCATTGTGTAGTTCAGGCTAACCTTGAACTCACAGAGATCTGTCTGCCTCTGCCTCCCAACTGTTGGGATTAAAGATGTGAGCCACCATGCCTGGCACAGCCTCAAATTATTAAAAGGATTGGGGGGGGGCTCAGCGGTTAAGAACACTGGTTGTTCTTGCAGAAGACCGAGGTTTGAATCCCAGCACCCACATGGCAGCTAAGAACTGTGCATAACTTCAGTTCCCCTATCCTCCTCAGACATTGCACAACACGGGTGCACTTACCTACATGCAGGCAATACACACACATAAAATAAAAATGATAAATATTTGATTTATTTTTATTTTATTATTATTGGGTTTTTGTGTGTGTGTGTGTGTGTGTGTGTGTGTTTTTTTTTTTTTTTTTTGTT